TCGACTGGGCAGGGCAATTTTTTTTGGTCAATTAGGTAGCGAAACTTGAGTAGATGCAATTCCGTGCATGCTCTGGCTAACAATCATTTAATTGTGCCCGAAAAAGTAGTTGTTGTTTCATTTCAACAAAAAATGCTTACTTGTATATTCGTAATGTTTGTTATCTACTGTTTTACTCTGCGTAATATAATATGAATGAGCGATACAGTTACTATTTTTCACTTTGAGTATATAAATAATAAATAATTGTATATGTCATATTTACAATGACGTAGTAACACTAAGCGGTGTTTTGCATATACCCAAAAGCCTCTCCATTTCAACATTCAATTTTTAAATTCCCTTATTGGTAGGCTAGAGCAGCGGTGGGAGTAGCTCCTTCAGCTTCTTTTGGTTCATCATTGCCCTGTGGGAACGGGTGCCTTTTTGGTCAAAAGAGGTTTCATGCTGCAGAGGACTGCAAGAGGGCTTTCAAATTTTGAACCCACATAAACACATACGTGTGAAAAGTTATCATGTCAAGCTTCCCATAAATTTCATATATAATGTAAGTATATTTATGTCTAGTCTCAAATATTACTCAAGTATTCTCGAGCAACTACGAAGTTATTATACCCGAGAGAAACAAAAGTAAAATCCAAGTTGCAAAAATGGGTCTCCAACTCGCGCAGTAGTTAAATTAAGACAAATATCTATTTTAAAAACTAATCATGCATGTTAGAGTTGGTTGGAAATCAAACTTGAGTGACTGCTATTACAACACTTTCAAGTTTCCCACCCATCTAATCCATTGGGGGTTATCAGTTAATCTTATTCTGATGGTGATGATATGACTTGGATTTAGAAAAGAAGTGACCAATTTAGTTGAAGGTTGAAGCTAATGAGACATGGGATCTTCAATAATATAACTTATGAGCTGTGGGGTGCTAGGCAGAGTGTACCATCTTTGATGGAAGAGTTGTGGACTGGAGGGAGGGAAACCATGATCCAACCACTACCTCCACCTTTTTATTTTATTGCCAACTACCCTCAACCTACCATTATTACATTTAGATCTGCTCCACCATCTGCATGCTCATCAGCACCCCATGCCAAGTGCAAAAATTCCAAAAATAAATTCTTAGCCCATCACATGAAACAAGATGCTTTACCTTCTCACTAATTAAATAAGACTATGCAAGAATTTGTGAACTTAAAAACTTATGAACATTTATAGATGATAAATTCTGTCATCTAATCGGCGACCGAGATATATTTCACTCTTTAGTATCTCTTTTGTCATGAGAATGATAGAAAAAAGGAGATACATCTTCAGTTATAGACATGATTTTATTTTTTATATAGGTCATGGTGAAAATTTTTATCCTTTCTTTTTCTTCACTTTTGGTGAGTCAAAACTTCAAATGGAATGTACTCCACAACCATGATTAAAGTGCATATGCATGGTTTAAACATCCAAAACAAGCTATCTCTGAAACTACTAGATAATCCCAAAAGAAATCATGCATGAATAAGAAGTTTGAACCCTTCTCACGATCATGATGTCTCAGTAGTAGCTCTTTTCAAAAGTTTAATGATTAGACATACATAATCTTATGTCCCTCGTGCGTTGGAGAGGGACTTACCTTAAGGAGATGTATTGTTTTTGTGTTTATATCACTCCTCAATTGACTTTAACATATTAATGCATGTGGTTTGGGTATGAAAGAAGAATTTTCAGTATCAGTCTTCTAAAATTATCAACCTACTTCATTAAAGAATATAGAGGGAAAACAATATGTCAACATGAAGTTGGAGTTTGGGCATCTCTAGGAATCATTTCACCTTAAAAAGCTGCATGAATTTTCTCCTTATCAGAGATTTTTTAATATAAACGGAATAAAGGATGATACATTATATCATTATACAATTAGAATGACACTTAAAAAATAAAATTTTTCTCCACTTACATAATAACATATAGTGTTCTATCCGTGTTCTGGCTACACTAAAAAATTTCTTCTCTCTTAGGCCCCAATTTGTTTTGTATTTATTATGTTTGTCAAAGTTGGTGTTACATGGAATATTCAAAGGTGTTTTATGATGTACCAACAGCACAAAAGAATAGACAAAAAAGCACAAGAATTTTAGTTTAATATTGGTCATAAGATTAAACATTGTTTTAAATTGTCCGCTTGTATTTAGTCTCTCATTCTCCCAGCTTGGCAGACAACCCATCTTAATCATGATCTAGCAGCAAATTAATCATGTACAATTAATGTTAGTATTTTGTTATATGTCTTGAAGCTTTCAACTTAGGAATGAGAATTAAGAAATTAGTATCATTCTGATTTCTAACTTCTTGTGTTTGTTGATATTTAAATAATAAAAAATTTAAGTAGGGTACATCCATCAAATTCAGTTCAGGTTTGAGATCAACCATACATGAACAACAATGTATCATCTTAATTCATGACTTCTCCTAGTAAATTTGTCTTTTACTTTATGACATGTTGACTTACTATTAGCGAGTATTGAAGAACTTGATATCTTTTTAATTCTTGAATTTTCAAACGTTTACTAACACGTAACAAAAAAATTAAAAAAAAAAAAATAAAGTATCAATTCAAGAATCAAATCAACTATATTTGAACAACATTATCATTTCAATTCATGACTTTTTTGATTCAAGAATGGTAAGTGTTCACAGTGGAGCATGGAAAGTGATGATGGAGAGGTAGAGAGGGAGAGGAGAGAGTTGAATGCATGCAATCAATGTACAAGCTCAGATCTCAAAGATGCCACACACTGGCAGGCAATTGCTTAGCATTGCCAATACTACAAGTTCCAGAAGGCCCATGACTGAGAGTGAGAGCTTACTAACTAATGAGTGAGCTGTGCCAGATGCCAGCAATTGGCCCCAAACATTGATACAGAATATCCACCCTTACAAGGCAAGTACCCAATTAAAACATTTCAAAAATACAAGGCAAAAATTTGGGATTTCTTTAAGTAGCATATTGAATGATATGAGAATGAAGAAATTGAAAATACAAAAAATTAAATAATTATAGAAATTAAATCTAATGATTAAAACACTCGTACCATTGATTGATATGTAGCATTGAAGTTGCACCTAAAAACTTGAGTCAAAATAATCCATACATGAAGAGCAACTTTCACAACATTAGGTTTACTATCATTGCGGTATGTCATGCAAAGCAACATTATTTATAAAGAAATTTACACATAATTTTATATCATTAACATGATAGATCATGATTTAGTGTACTCGACTCGTCCTCCTACATATGTGGTAGGCTGACCTCATTGAAAATATGCAAGGAACCATGAAATCGAAGAGGAATGGTGTATTACTAATTGAAGTTTGTAATGCCATTTTGGTGTGATTTCTTTGTAAACTCTCTGCTTTGTAAGGGCAAACACATGGAGGGGGGCTTTTAGTTAAATAAAAACCAAGGCTCTTTGTTTGCACTTCACAGCATCTTTGTAGTAATCAAGGACATGATCCATAAATTAGGTAGTGTAGGACCTTTTTGCTTTGTTTATGTTTGTAAGGAGAGCATTTATAGCATGGAAATAAGGAATGAATAAATAACAGTGAGTCATTATTTCCAAAAGAGGTTGTATTTGCATATACCCCTTTGACTCCATTTCCAATAGTGAATAAGGAAAAAAATTTGTATACAACCGAATATTATTTTAGGGTATATTAATTTTAAACTGTAATGTCACGTAACAAGTTATAACACATAGCATTTATGATAGGTTTAGAATACTGTTAGTTTGATGTTTTGGTTGACATATATATGTTTAATGGGTTTCACGTTCCATGAGTAAGTGTTGAGATTATGAATTCCACATCAGTTAAAAAAAAATAAACATTGCATGTGCTTATACGTAACTAAAAACTCACCATATTGTCAATTAATTTATAATGAAATATCAACTTTTTTCAAAATTGCAAATATGGAACTGCATGTCAAACGTGCGGAACGAATCCCATCTTTGCCCTTTGTTTTTCTTTTTCTTTCGGTCCAGTAGTTGGACAAATATACAAATCTCAGATTTAGTTTGTACACAAAATAATGTCACAATGCCCATTCCTTCACATTTGAACGGGTTTACTATTTTATTTTCTTTTACGAATTTTATTTATTTCAAGATCATCATTTGGATCAGTTTACTTGCTTTTGTGGCCTCTTGACAATTTAAAGATCACACTTTTGTATCTGCTGCAAGAACTTACACGGACAACTTAGGAGTATTAGATGCCATAAAAAGGTAAATAATCTTACATGGCACCTGCCCCACCCCACTTCCTCCTGGTAAGCCTATGGGGGCTCTGTTGGGAAAAAAAAACTTAGAGTACACAACTCTAGCATAAGTGTTGGAGAAACAATACAAGTAAACAAATTACTTGTATTACACAAACAAAATATTACAACACAAACTATCAAAGACACTCTTGAGAAGCTATGACATTCACTCACTTTCTAGAGACAAACTCTAGAACACTCACACTCTTACAAGACTATTCTTTCTTCTCACTCTCACTTGCTTGCTTGTTGATTTGTTGATACAAATGATGTGGATGCCTTCTCCTTTTATAGGCATGGATGGAACCTTGGAGAAGCATGGACACACTATGCTAGAGATATCTAGATAATTCCACTAACTTCCTAAGCTAGAATTATCTACACTAATCTTGCATGTTGGTGGAAACCTCACCATTCTTCTAGACTCTTCCACCAACTTAAGAGACAACATTCTAGTCATTTCTACAAAGTACTACTTTAACTTGGATAATCTAGCTAACCAACCTTAGTGAATGTTCTAAAATTCTTTATTCTAGATTTGTTTAGGTCCTTTAATGAGATGGGGTTGATTGCTTTAACAGGCTCCGTCCCTGCCAAGTTGTTGTTAGGGCTGGTCCTAAGGTTTTTAGTGCACACTGCAAAGGCTCAAAACGTGCCTTTTTTTAATACCCAAACACATATTTTAAAAAAATATATATTTAAAGAGGGTTGGAACCCAGTCGAAGCTGGGGGGCTAGGCCCTCACGCCCAAATTATATTACTTGAGAAAACATACAATGGGTGGGGCAAAGTCTGTAAACCCCGACAATCAAATGTAAAATCATATACAACCACTTTAAGCAAAACTCCATGAAATTTCAACCTTCAAGAAATCGTCTTCAATAATTTCATGATCATGAGACTCCTCACCAACATTTTGTAACCCTTCACCAACATTTTGTAGATGGAGGACCGGCTTTGAATGAATTTAATTCATAAACTGCTACTGTTTGACAAAAGGCTTCTGCAGGTTCCCAAGTGAAATCGCTCCTCCGGCGAATCTCCAAAGAAGTCAAAGTTTTCATATGCATTTTGAAAGTCTTCTTCAGCTGTGTACATGAAATTGGAGTTTTAAGAGATGAAGTGAACATGTTTCTCATTTGATTGCCCTAAAAATTTGACATACATGACTAGCAAGGATTACACACAAAGCATGCTCATGAACTTTCTATCAAATTAGAAGTATTATCTGAGAATAGCAGGAAGGTGGGAAATATGGAAGCACTCTTTTTGTTCATGTATTAAAAGTAAGTTACCTACTTTTGGTTACGATACACTTCATTCCAGCAACTTCGGCCGCTGCAAGGCCCATGCCGATGTCCTCCGCCACGGCTGTAGAAAAAGGAAAGATGTTACATTTTATCCTAGACAGTTGGGGTAGGGAATGCACATGTTTGTAGGAGTAACTTCTTGTTGGCAGCTTGAATTTTCTGCTTAAAATAACAGAGACTACTTCCTTCATATCTGCAATGCACAGTTTATTATAAACACGATTAACTCTCAAAGAAAAATGTTAATCCTTTATAATTGCATAAAAAAGTGGCTCAACAGATATAGTGTTACCTTCCCAGCCCAAAGAACTCTCAGTAAATTACTAAGGTGTTGAGACAATGGTGAGCAACACCATAATAAAGAGTGACCCAAAGTACCCAATATGGACCTGCACTGAGCAAACTTTGTTTCGGAAAACAAATTACTCTTACAACACCGTTATCATCAATGGCATAATCGCTAATAAGTTCATGGTGAATATGAAATGGAGAAAACCTGAAGAAGGGAAAACATGCGTGCTTAGATTGTTCAATGTAAAAGAAAAGGAGAAGAGCACACCTTGTATACTGCTGATTTTACAGACTCTTGTCCTCAATCAAGCATCCAGAATTTCTTTCATTCATTAAAGACAGTACTAAGTCCATAGGACATTGTACGAACCTTCCATACATGCAAGCTGGGCTACGTCCATGTTTAGCAGTTTCTCAGGTTTTTACTATAATTACATTTCAAAATGAGCATGAGTCTTTTAGAGAGTAACTGAAGAGAGAGAGTTACTGTAGTTTGGTAAGGTGCTGCCTACCTTCCATCCAACTAGAGTCTGTCATCTTGTGGCCTTGCACACCGTGAAATTTGGTTTTCCAATACACATTTGCTGTAGTTTGGGAAGGTGCTGCCTACCTTCCATCCAACTACTGCCAGACTGATTTAAAAGAAGAGGGAGAAGGATAAACAACTTTTGTTATGCTAGTTTAAATTTGTATGTAGTAGTTGAGACGAATAAAAGAAGAAAAGAGATAAACATGTAACATGATCTCTGTAATTTCATTTCAAGAATTTTAAAACGTACATATGATTTGTGGAATATGAGAAATCTTGGGACAGTCTGTGCCGCTATCCCTGCTGCAACTTTGCTTTAGAAGGGGATGACATGCATAAATCGACAGGCTTTGTAATTTGGTGAGGCGTTGCATAGCTTGGACACTAGGTAAGTTGGTCAGATTCGTGCACCCTAGAATATACAGATAAGTAAGGGATGTAAGGCTACCCAACCATTCTGGCAAAGTCTCCACTCCGTCAAAGTTACGTACACAGAATGATGTTAGAGAAGTGAGGTGTTGAATTTGTTGAGGCAGAGACTTGAGCTTAGGCCAACCCGTCAAGGATAACCTTGTCAGTTGCATTAATGATCCAACTTGAAAATCAGGGAAGGAATCGAGCTCCTCCGAGAACCCACCGATGCTCAAATCCTCCAACCGCGGGAGCCGTTGTAACCCCATCGGCAGATATTTTAGCTTTTTCCAATTTACAATCCCCAATTCACGGAGAGAATTGAGGTTGTCTAAACTTGGAAGAATCTCTAAATTAGGGAAACCATTTAATACCAGCGTCTCAAGAGAGAGTGGAAATTGCAGCCCGCTCACCCCACTTTCCAATCCTTCACATTCTTCAATCGTCAGTTCTCGAAGGGAGGTGAAGGTGCCCAAATCTGAAAAAGATTGTAGACTAATGCTGCTACTTTGGACACCAAACCATGCTACCTTTGGGCAATCTCTTATATACAATTCCTGAAGAGAAGGACATTGTTGTGGAAGAGCAGGAAAGCATGATAATTCTTTGCAATTAATAATTCTCAAACGCTGAAGAGAGGACATGCCGCCTTTAATTTCAATTGATGTCAGATTATTACCCTCAACTATAATCAATTCCACGAGAGAGGCCCATACACTCAGTGGGCCTGATAGTCCATTACAATCCCGAATATACAAATGGGGAAGACGTGCAAGGGTGTAAAATGGAAACGATGTTACACCACCGCATTCGCTTATAGACAAGTTCTGGAGAGAGGTGCAGTACTCTAACCCACTCGGTAGGCTTGACAATCCTTCACAATTAGCAATCTTTAATTTCCGTAGAGATGTCATGCCCTGTGTAATTGGAATCAACTCTAGACTATGGCATCTTCCTATATTCAGGTTCTCAAGGAGAGGGAGTGCGTCTAGCCCATCCCCCAAATGCCTCAACTTTTTACACCGTTTAATATACAAACTCTTAAGAGAGCCGCAAGATCCAAGGGCAATACAAGTTAAATCATCGCATCCATCTATCATCAACTTCTCTAGGCAAGGAAAAACCACAATTTTTTGTGTTGACATCATTGGTGCTTCAAATTCCATCCATTCAATTAGATCGTTGCAGTTAGAAATATTTAATTCTTTTAGTGCAGGAAATAAAGTAATTATCTCCTTACTTGTCGTGGCTACATTGTGGACAAGATCATAACCGTAGAACTCAACTCCAATACATTTCAAGTTAGTCATTCCGCTAATCTCAAGCACTGTAAGTTTAGGTAGATGACCAAGCGGTGGGACTACTTCACATTTGTCGCATCCAAGTAACTTAATCTTCTTCAAGTTGTTGAGTAATAATGACCCACTCATCATCCACGATGGAAACTCATCACCCATGAAGTTTTCAATACGTAAGCTCTCCAACCCAGGATGCGGTCGGAGGCCTTCCAGTATATCCCCCTGTTCATTGTTGTTGGTTATTGACCAATCTTCTATCCATTTGAAGCTTAAATGGCATATTTTCGTCTTATCCTCCAACTTAGCTTTCTTTGCTTCTTCTCCATTCTTTACGTGCTCCAAATTACAAACAATTAATTTACCTCTCAAATGTTTCAGGTCAGCCAACTCTTCAATTTGACGACCAGTCTCATTACCCACCGAAAAGTAAGGTAATGTTCGAAGGCATGTTAGCCGACTTATCCCCTGGGGGAATTTTGTACTCATATCAAAATAAATATGCCTTAGGTTGATCAAGTTTTGCAGCTCTTTTGGAAACTCCTCAAGGGCACAATTTGTTGCTCTTAAAGTCTGTAGGTTATAGAGCTTGCCTACAGATTTGGGGAGTTCTTTGAATCTTGTTTTAGAAATGTTAAGATACCTCAAGTGTTTCAACCTTCCAACTGAAACTGGAAATTCTTCAATCTTAGCATTACTTAAATTTAAGACACGTAAAGCTTTGAATCGTGGAAGAATGTTACTAGGAACTTCACCATCGTCGAAAAACACTGACCGCAATTTCTTAGCACTTCTTTCTAGAATTTTATCTAGCATAGAAGTAGAAACCCGAGCAACATGTCGAATCTCATTTGTATTATCTATGCCACATAAGTCTCCCGTCAAGCTTTCTGATTTAGATACATGTTCTGCAAGGTCGTGCACAAGATCGTGCATCTGGCATATGCTAACAGTGCCGTTGTCACTCATTGTAGCATCTTGAAATAAGGAACTTTGCAATAGAATATCAAAATATTCATTGCCTATGTCCTCCTTATCTTTATTTTCACCAGGGGAAGGGTGGAGTAATCCTTGAGCCATCCAAAGTTGAATCAAGTTATCTCTTTGAATTTCAAAATCTTTCTTGAACATTGAGCAATATGCAAAACATTGCTTCAGTGATGGCAATTCTAAATTGTCAAAACTCAACTTCAAGACTGGCATAATTCTATCTTCTTCTTTTGATAGGTTTTCCCATATTCTACTTTTTTCAAACGACAACCAGTCTTCAATATTTTTTTTATTGCACAAAATGCCTCCCAAAACCTGTTTGATTTGAGAGTTTCTATCAATAGAGAGTAAAGTAGTTTAACCATGACTGATTTTTTTTTTTTGGATCTATGCGAAGCAAAATAATGTTTTTCACCATATTTTTTTATCAGATGAAAAAAATGAAAAGAAAAATATATGGAAAAAAAAAAAGGAATAGTTTTAACTAGTTTTAAGGGTAATTTTTTCTTTAATGTTTTTAAGGTTACAACAATTGCACTTTATTACGCTTTTTTTTTTCCGTCTTGCTTTCATAATTAAAGTTGACTTTTTATATTAGCAACTCACAAATTGTTGAATGCACCCCACATTAAAATTTAATATTACATGATTTAGTTATCCTACTATGCAATGGCAATTTTGACCTTATTAGGTTAAAAAAAATCTAAATACACCTCAAATCACTTTTAACGTATTATTTATCTTATTCGACTATCAAAATCCCTCCTACCCTCCATTGTTGAATAAAACCATAACCAATGAAACTACAAACATGTTGATTAAGAAAAATTATTTTTGACGAATGAAACACAAAATCGATGTTTCGAAAGCTTCACATGAGGTAAGCTTTCATATTTTTTATTGTTTTAAAGATTTTGACGACATCGATAATTATTTAATCTTGCTTATGCTACGTTATTCAAGCTTCTATGTTCGTATTCATCTTTTAAGGATCACAGGGATTACATGAAGAATTAAACACCTAAAATTACCATCAAATATTAAAAATACACGACATGGGTTTTAATGGTGGAATTGAAAACAACTCACATATGCTTTAAATCTGAGATGACATCTTTTGTCAATTCCAATTGGCATTTTTTGTCCAAATTAAAAACTTTATAAGATTTGAGAAATGTGAGGTGTATAGAAAATATGGGATGCATGTAGAAAATATAAGGTGTATAATGAGAATGTGAGGTGTGAGGGTATTATGGGGAAGTATGTGGGGTGTATTAAGATAATTTTTCATTGAAAAAGCAAATGTGGAGTGTATTAAGTATGTGAGGTTTATTCAACAATTTATGGAGTGTTAATATAATAAGTCTTAAAGTTTGATTTTTATACTTTCGTTAGTCTTTTGGTCAACTATCCCGTTAATTAATGCGGTGACATCACTTTGACCCACCAAATTTTCCATGTAGACAAACAAATCATTTAATAAACATTAAAAATTAATTAATTCATAAATAAATATAAAATACAAAAGGAAAACAGGTCTTGGTAGCCCTTTTACAAACCCACCAACAAAAGATAATCTTTGCCTTCAAAATGCAATCTCCACTAACCTTCATTGATAAAAATATCCTCACATTAATATTTTATCGACACAATATTAACACATTTTCAAAAGAATATTGATAAATTATTAACATAATAATAATATATTTTTGAGATTATTTTTGTCAAAGAGGGCTAGTAGAGATTGTATTTTGAGAGCACGCTAATTTGGTTGGTGTATTTATAAAGGGTAAATTGTCATTTGACCTCCTGAACTATTACTTCAGTTGAGATTGACCTCTTCTTCATTTTTTTTGGTAAATTAACCCCCTGACTATTTGAAATAAGATAATTAATCCCTTGTCATCAGATTTCGTCCACTATCTATCAAATTCAAGGACAAATTAATATTTTTATCACAATTCTTACATGTCACTTATAACTACCAATCTAATTATAAAATGTGAACATATAATAATGTGTAATAACTATGTGAAATGATTCATTATGTAAACGTTTGGTTTCTTATTATGTTATAAGTTTTTGAATTATTCTTATCCACATATCATTATTTTATTGGTCGTTCTAATTGATTAGTAATAATTAATGATGAAAAGACTAATTTATCCTTGAATTTGACGGAATAGTAAACAAAATCTAACAATAAGGGAATAGTTGATTGATTTTAAATTATTTAGGTGGTCAATTTTTTAGGAAGTCAAACTGGAGTTTACCCATTTACTAGCTCAATTTCCCAATACAAAATCTCTCTCTCTTCTCTCTTCCCCCTTTCTTTCTTTCCCTCTAATTCCCAATTCCCGATCGCCCTTTTTGTGCTCCAAAAACCCAATCCCCAAAAACTCAAAAGTGGTGGTGATGAGGCGTCGGAGGGAGACCGGGGTGCGGGGGTTGGTGATGGCTGGAGCTCAACACCTTTTGGTTTTCATTTTGAGTTTTAGTGATTTTTCGAAGCTAATTAAATTGGGTTTTTTCATTTGATCTGGAAGAAGCGAAATTTCAGTGACCTTTGTGTCGTGACTCGTAAAGAACGAACATTTTACATTCGAACGGCAGCGAGAGAAGGGAAAGAGGGGAGGGAGAGATTTTTTTTTTGTTTAGAATTTTTTATTAATTTAAAAAAAAATTTAGTTTTTATCCACGTGGCAAATTTGTTGGGCTAAAATTAAGCCTCGTCGTTAGTTAACGAAATCGAGACTGACAGAATTATGAAAGTGTAAAAAAAATTAAACCTTAGCTATATATGAAATTGTGAAAAAAATAATATAATAAAGTGTAAATTTTGCAAAATTTAAAAGTAAATAAAAAATTACCCCAGTTTTAAGCTTTCTAAGGCGTCTTAAAATAATTTAGACAATGCATGACGTAACAACTACCAACATGACATGAGTCAAAAAAAAAAAAAAAAGAAGCAAAGAGATAATTCATCCAATAATAATGCAGCTGGCTTAAGTCGCTTAACTAATTTAATTGATTCTAACTGGATCGGTTTCTTTTTGGTAAAGTTTTTACACCCACGAATTTATGTAAATTGAATTTTCCATGGGGTGGATAAGGTGGTGAACCCATGGGTGGATACAAGTATTGTCCTAATTTATAAATGAAAACATATAAAAAAATAATAATAAATAATAAAGGTGCAAATTTCATATTATGATATATAATAATACGCACCTTTGCTACCAATGGAACGCCACCACAATTTTTGGCAATCTTCAATCCAACTGTACGGAACTCCGTAGGTATATCAGCTTTGTTGGGGAACGCTCTATTTTTCATGATGGACCAGCATTCATCCACAGAAAGCTTTCCCAATTCATGTCGTTGAAGTAGCTTTTCGGGGATCGATGCGACTTTGCCACTACGAGTAGTGACAATAATCTTGGACCCCCCGGCAGAACGAAGCTTAAACAAACACTCCATCAAATTCTCCCATTTTATGGGATCTTCATTCCAAACATCATCAAGTACGAGTAAGTATCTTTTATCTTTCAACTCTTCATTGAGGAACTTAAGCAGAGCATTCCGGTTATCTTTCGAAGACGGGGCGTTTGCGGGTTTAAGCTGCTCTAACATCTGAAGTAGAATTAAATTGACATCAAAAGGGTCCGATACACAAACCCATATTCTCGTTTGGAAAAACTTGTGTACAGAATCCTCATTGTAAATTGACTTGGCCAACGTTGTCTTGCCGAGGCCTCCCATTCCCACGATGGCCATAACAGAAAGATTTTCTTGATTGTATTTGGAGTCGGTCAGGGTTGTAACTATTTTTGACACAACACCTTCCCTTCCAACAGTTATTTCATCTCTGCCAATGAATGCGTCGGTTTGTCTGTCCCATCTATTTCCTCGAGGGGTTGCATCTTTATTCTTGGAAACTAGTCCAAGAGGAGATGCTTTCCTCTCGAGATCCAGCAAGGATGCGTTGATCTTCTGAATTTTATGCGCCATTTGAAGACGAAATGCAAGTGGATTGGAGAGTGAAAAGAAGTTAAGAACCTTTTTCTTGATATGGTTTTGGATTTCGACTTTACGCCGATCAACTTCGTACTGGAATTCGTCCAAGACATCCTCAGCATCCTGAGCAACGTCTTTGAGGTTCTTCACCCATTCCTCTATTGACTTACTCCGACCTGTTAGAGAATGGAAAGAGGTTAAATAGCTTGTAATTGTATCATGTGTGCGTGAGATTACGAGAGAATTCAGAAATATATACTACCTTGTGGTTGGTCGGCAACATCAACTAAGAAACGTTCAATGCTGGCGAAGGACTTTTGAAGCTTTCTGAGTTCAGCTTTGAAACCCCACGCGAGACCGAATTCATGAGCAGCGAGTGAAAGCACCTTGTTCAGTATTCCCTCCGCAGCAAAAGTGAGCACAGCGTCAGCCGCCATTCCTTCAATTCCCTGCAACTCAGCTAATCAGAGTTTTTAGTTTCTCTCTTCTTCGATACAATACAAGTGCAATGCAGGAAGATATGATGGACAATAATGTCGGTAGGTTTAACTTTTCATAACGTGAATAAGGTGGGGCATCCAATAATTCAGGGGTAGATTCCTATCAGATAAAAAGCTAATTGAGGATAGATTTACTTTAGACGTGGCTCCTTCTTCTCTGATTTGTAGCTGTTTAGTCCTTTTCAACCAGCAACAAGAACGAAGGGCAACATTATTCAGACAACGTGTGTCACGAGGCTTCGGATTTTTTTGAAAATCATATATCATGCATACAGCTGGATGCAAGTAAGTATAGTGATCATCAAAGTTTACTTATCTGCTTTCTAGGAGAGATAGATTTTCTTTTCTTTTCTATAAGAAAATAAACAATTGACAGTTTGTACGTAAATAATATTGAGTCTTAATCTCACAGTAAGAAAAATAATAGATGTTACATGTGTTTAAAGTAATTTGATTATTTCTTATATTGCTAATTGATTTTAAGATAAAATCTTAAATATGGATGTAAATTTCTAAGAAGGCTAGATTGACATAATCACACTTGCAAAATATCAAGAAAACGTTAGTTTAATTGACGAAGACCCAAAAAAAAGGCTAGGTATTCACCAAAATGCTTTGGATGTCTAAGTCAGAGTTTTTAGTTTCTCTCTTCTTCGATACAATACAAGTGCAATAGAGAAAGATATGATGGGAAAATATTCTTCACCGGATCCTTTTTTTAAGGATTTTAAGAATTTCGTGATCATAATCGTTCATCGTACATCGTATGATCAATTTTATAAATATTAAATTTTAAATTCTAAAATAATTTATGATCGTACAATATACGATAAATAATTACAATCATGAGATCCATATGATTCTTGAAAAAATAATCTGCCGATAATCCTTTTGCGATGGACAACAATGTCTGTAGGTTAAACTTTTTATAAAACAGGTGGTGCATTCAATAATTCAGGGTGGATTCCTATCAGATAAAAAGCCAATTGAGGGTAGATTTACTTCAGACGTGGCTCCTTCTCCTTCACTGATTCGGAGCTATTCAGTCCTTGTCAACCAGCAACAAGAACCTAAAGGCAGCATTATTCCAACGTGTCACGAGGCTTCGGATTTTTTTTAAAAAAAAATCATACATATGCAAGTAAGTGTAGTGATCATAAAAGTCTACTTATGCTTTCTAGGAGAGAGAGAGATTTTATTTTCATTTCTATAAGAAAATAAATAATTAACCGTTCGTACGTAAATAATATTGAGCCTTAATTTCACATTAAGGGAAAAAAAAAAACAGACGTTATATGTGCTTTTAAGTAATTTGATTATTTCTTATATTGTCAATTGATTTTATGTTTAAATCTTAAATGTGGATGCAAATTTCTAAAAAGACTAGATTGACGTAATCACATTTGCAATTAGCAGACAATGTTAGCCTAATTGACGAAGACCCAAAAAAGGGCGAGGGCATCCACCAAAGGGCTTTCGATGCCTAAGTCAAATAGATAGTTTGAGAGAAACTATGAACTTGAGAATTCTGAGTAGGTAGAGGAGGTTGCAAGACGTATTAGGCAGACCTTAATGTTCTACTAGTGATGGTACAGACCAATCTCTATATTCCTACCTAATAGTAGTCCCATGTCCCTGTTGGTAGGAGCTCAAGCACACCAGACACCCAAGAGAGACTCTTGAAGAGTTAGCTTCCGGCTGGATATAATCCGGTGACAGGACATATCACGGGCCCAAAGCACCTTGGATACGCTAGTACCCAAAGGCCTAATACTCACGGGGCGGACGGGTCACAGGTACCCCCTTCCTATCCCAAACACTCCCAATTTCAGATGCACAACTATTGCCCAATGGGCTAAGAAGCCATGGCCAGGAAATAAGAATAGCAAGTAAAAGCTCTGCAAAACGTGCCATCACTACAAACAGTCAGAACGGAAAGTAAAATTTCAGTATTACTTTGTTACAGTTTTCCCAAAACAAGTATCCAACTAAAACGCAACCCACATTATCCGAAGGACAAGTGGAAAATAAAACCATTCCATAGCTCGATGTTATACATCGCCGCCGCAATAACTCGGAATGTCGTAAAAGGCATCCCTACATTGAGCTACAATTGTTCAAAGCAACGAAACCAATATCTCCGGATGCGGCTTGCGTGGTGATTGCGACCAAATTAAACATAACAAAGCATCTTTATAAACCCGAGCAACAGAACTATAATATGAGCTTCCAGCACCGATCATTTGTAGAATTCAAAGTCAGTGTCGGGCTTCTTCACGTTGGTCTGGTAACCCTTCTCAAAGTCCTTTGGGAGTATGACATACCGATTCTTCCTAACTGCATGCATTCCTGCTTCTTGACATATAGCAGAAATCTGTACAAACCGAACCATTTACAACAGTTACTATAGACTCAATTTTTTTATAAAAAAAAATGATTAAAGATCTGAGATCGCCACAAAGCTTCAACATCTTTACACTCAGAATACTACAGGTGAAGTCCAATATGAGAACTCATATTCAAATTTATAGCCATTCATATTGAGGTTCTCGTTTTAATGCTTGATAACGGCTAAATCCGACCCCCCCAAAGCTTCTCATGCTGACTGTTAAAAAGAATATGTATATGTCAATCGCCATAATTGTTCTAACCAAGAGCTTGAAGCAAATATTCTTAAGTATTTCACGAACATAGCACAAGCCTGACCAAAAAACCCCAACAACCAAAACCCCAAATTAAGTTAAAACAGAGAAGAAAAAACACACATAACATAGCAGTAACAGGACTTAACACTGGTAGAAGAATTAAAACAATATGCATATTCTCTCCTTAAAGAAATTAATCTCACCTCAGCAGCACTGATTTTGTCTGGCCGAGAGACATAATCTTCCAAGTCTACCTCATCACTCAAGTTCATTTTAGCAGTGCAAACCTGCAGGACAAGCAGGTATGTTACACTACCTTGTTTGCAATAGCTTGCCAAAATTCCACAAGAGTAAGACATCAGGATTGCAAGAGAAAATATAGAAGAAAAGGTATATAGAAAGCTGATGGCAAGTTTCATAAATATCATAAGACGTAAGGTGGACAGTATTAAATGGGATAATCTCATATAGACATTGGGTGCAGGTGTGTTTTGAGGTGTCCAACTCCTGTGCAGTCCACAACTAAGATATAGGGAGAGGTAACTGGTCTAAATCTAATGATATGGATGGCACTGAATGGACATCGCAGAAGCTACAAATCTTAGGATAATGAGAAAAAAGTTACCTCACAGCGTACAAACAACAATTTACCAACAATAACTCTTTCATTGAAAGATACTTTAAGCCTGTTATTTTACCTGGAAAACAAGTCTTTTCTGCCTCCTATCAGGCAAAGGAAACTCAATCTTTCGATCAAGCCTTCCAGGACGCAGAAGTGCAGGATCCAAGGTGTCTGCTCGGTTAGTAGCCATAATAACCTTAACATTCACTGTCTGGTCAAACCCATCCATCTGCAAAAGTTATTAAGCCCAAATCAACTTTGAGAACAGAAAACAGAAAAATATTGTTTCAGGGTTAATCTTTCACTTGACATTTGTTCAAATATTTTCTCCAACCCCATAATGGTGCATTAAGCATCCAAGCTCTGGTTGATATGAAGCAGTAGTTCATTCGGATTACTTATTCTTTCAAATCAAAACTCAAAACCTACCTGATTAAGGAGCTCCATAAGGATTCGCTGAACTTCTCTGTCAGCTCCAGTTTGAGCATCAAACCTAGCAGTAGCAATAGCATCCACCTCATCAATAAAGATGATGGCAGGAGCATTCTCCTTGGCAAGACGGAAAACATCACGTACCATTCGTGGACCCTTGACAAATAAATAAACAATAAGTGCTTACAATGTTTCTAAGTTAGTCAATAAATATAAATCCACAGATAGTGAGGAAACATGAAAATATCACAGTGCCCTTGCTACATTCACCCACGACATTGGCTATTCCAAAAATGATAAGGGTATGTGGAATGTAAGAAGTAGGATAACACACAAAACATAGTAAAATGATCTTATATGAAAGCTTACCTCTCCCAAATACTTCTGAACAAATTCTGAACCAACAACTCTGATGAAGGCAGCAGTTGTATGATTAGCAACAGCCTTCGCTAACATGGTTTTACCGGTTCCAGGTGGACCATAGAGTAATACACCACGTGGGGGATCTATTCCAATCTGTTTGTATAACTCGTGGTGAGTAAGTGGCAGTTCTACCGCTTCCCGAATTTCTTGCTTCTGAATGTCACATCCTCCAATATCCTGATACACCAAAAAAAAAAAAAAAACGATAAGGGATTAACATTATTATATTATGATAAAGCCAATATGTGTATGCCAATGCAGTATTTAGTTAAGAAGAAGGAAGAGGCAAACAAAATAACCACATGCACAAAAAGCATCACCAAACAGACGGCTTGACTGCATTTTACTGAGCACAAACAATTTGGATTGGTTTGCTTCAGTTCTTAAGAAAGGGAACTGAACTGAACCATAGTACTAGTCTACTGCTTAATCATTTTAAGTTACGAATTCCATTTATTTTTTTCAAATTCTCTTTTAATCAAATGCACTTCAATCTCTTATATTAAACTCGTATTTAGATAAATTCCATTATTGATTCCATTATTGGATGCTTGATGGGGACATCAAAAAAAATACTAGCAACAGGAAATGTACTCAACAATTCGACATTTTAAAACAAAAGAGGGTGTGAGCCAAGAGTAACACGTCCCCGTGACGCTTATTCAAAAAATGCATGCATATTACACACCATAGCATTCTGATTGTGTTGGCTTGCTTAACCAACCAATAAAACCAACTAAAGAAAATTAGTTGATTCCCAGACCCATGTTTTAGCCCTAAATAGTTCAGTCATCAATAATAACCAGTTCTCTCCAATAAGGTATAAATTAGAAAAGATTAATGAGTTTCCTAGTTTACACAACAATAACCGAATAATAGGCAGTCCATCTCTTGCTTGAAAAGACTCTACAAACCCTAAAGCTCGACAATTTTAGACATACACAAATAGTTAGTTTTCAATCTTAGACTCATAGAACTTGAGCAACTGGGAAAATTCTGGGCTCTACTCAAATTCTCTTAACATAAAACCATTGAGC